GAGAGAGAGAGAGAGAGAGAGAGAGGGAGAGAGAGAGAACAGTGTTTGTCAGAGGCAGGCAAGGGGTGGGGGGTGGGGGAAGGGGTGTGTTGTGAGGGTGCTGGGAAATGTACACTGGTGGTGGAGGGATGGGTGTTGGAATGCTGTATGACTAAAATCCAAATCCAATAATGTACGGCTTTGTAATACTCTAAAAAATAACAATAATAAAAGAAGAAAAAAAAAGTGTTGGGGCCAGAGTGATAGCCCAGTGGGTAGGGCACTTGCCTTGTACACAGTCAATCCGGTTCAATTCCAGACACCACAAAAGTCTCCTGAGCACTGCCAGGAATAATCCCTGAGTGCAGAGCCAGGAGTTAAGTCCTGAGCATCAGTGGGTATAACCCCCCCGAAACAACAACCACTAAAAATATATAAATGTGAACACTCTTGTAATCATGCTGCCTAAACTACGATAAAAAAAATAGTTTAAATTAGAGGGAAAAGTAAGAAATCTGGGGAGGGCGGCTGGATATTCAAAGGACTAGTGCTTTGCTTGCAGGAGGCCTGGGGTTCATCCCTGACACCCCACAGGCCTCCAAGCACCACCAGGTATGATTCCAACAAAACTCCCAAATGGGGAAGGGTGTGACAGGGTGTCAGGGCCCAGTCTCAGGAAGTGACTGGCAATGAAGGTGGCACCTGAGAAAGTCTTCAGAGTCAATTTACACACGGCTAAGAGGGGGAAAACATAAGGGGGATTTTAGAATTTTTTTTGGGGGGTGAAGGGGGCAGCACACCAGGCGGCACTCAGGGGTTACTTCTGGCTCTGCACTCAGGTGCGCTCCTGGAGGAGCTCAGAGGACACTATGGGATGTCAGGGATCCAACCTGGATGGGCCGCATGCAAGGCAAACGCACTCCCCACTGTCCTATGGCTCTGGTCCCTGATTTTATCATTCTTTTTTTTGGGGGGGGGTCACACCTGGCAATGCACAGGGGTTACTCCTGGCTCATGCACTCAGGAATTACCCCTGGCAGTGCCCGGAGAACCATATGGGATGCTGGGAACCAAACCTGGGTCAGCCGTGTGCAAGGCAAACGCCCTAACCGCTGTGCTATCCAGCCCCTGATAATTCTTCTACGCGGCAAAGTTTATGACAGGAAAAAGCAAAGCACATAATCCTGAGGAGGCAGTCTCTGAAGCGCTGCAAAGTCAGGGGCTGAGGGGAGGGAGGCCTCCTTGGCAACCCATATGATCCCCCCATCACCACCAGGAGTAATTTTTTTTTTAATTTTTATTAGTGAAACACCATGAGGTACAGTTGTAGACTTATGTATTTTTGTGCTTGGGTTTCAGTTACACAGTGATTGAGTACCCATCCCTCCACCAGTTCCTATTCTCCACCTCCAATGCTCCCAGTATCCCTCCCACCCCTCATCCCCCCAACCCCTGTGGCAGGGCATTCCCTTTTGTTCTCTCTCTCCTTTTGGGTGCTGTGGTTTGCAAAAGAGGCATTGAGTGGCAATCATGTTCGGGCAATCATGTTCGGTCTATACTCTACTCTCAGCATGCATCTCCCATCCTGGGAGAATCCTCCCAACACCCTTTATTTGGTGCTCCCTTCTCTATCTGAGCTGCCTTTACCCCTAGCATGTGCGGCTGTCCTCCAAGCCATGGAGTGAACCTCCTGGTACTTATCTCGGCTATTCTTGGGTGTTAGTCTCCTATTTTGTTACTTTATGTTCCCCAGATGAATGCAATCTTTCTAAGTCTGTCCCTGTTTCTGACTCATTTCGCTTAGCATGATACTTTCCAAGTAGTACCACTTGTACGTAAATTTCATTACTTCATCTTTTCTAACAGCTATATAGTACTCCATTGTGTAGATGTACCAACGTTTCTTTAACCAGTCATCTGTTCTTGGGCACCAGGAGTAATTCTTGAGTGCAGAGTCAGGAGTAACCCCTGAGCATCGCTGGGTGTGACCCAAAAAGGAAAAGAAAAAAAAAAAAGACTGGAGGGTCTGTGGGGCCAGAGGAGAGGTGGCAAGGAGCTGGGGTAGAATTCTGGACTGGAGCCTGCAGAGGAAGCAAGGGCCCTGGATGTGACTTCCCAACATATTGAACTTTCACTCTGCATGTTTGCACATTCCTCCTTTCAGTTTTCAGGAAAGGGACTTTCCTTTGGGGGGGGGGTGTGTGTTTCTCTTCATCCGCCTCGCCCCAGAAAGCAGGATTCTCTTGTGTTAAGAAAACAAAAGGCTGGGCTGGAGTGGATAGCACAGCAGGTGGGCCTTGCACGATTCCCAGCATCCCATATGGTCCTCCGAGCACTGCCAGGAGTAATTCCTGAGTGCATGAGTCAGGAGTAACCCCTGTGCATCACCAGGTGTGACCTAAAAAGAGAGAGAGAAAGAAAGAAAGAGAAAGGAAGGAAAGAAGGAAGAAGTGAGAAAGAGGAAGGAAGGAAGGAAGGAAGGAAGGAGAGAAAGAGAGAGAGGAAGGAAGGAAGGAGAGAAAGAAAGAAAGGAAGGAAAGGAAGGAAGGAAGGAGAGAAAGAAAGAAAGTGGAAGGAAGGAAAGAAGGAAGGAAGGAAGGAAGGAAGGAGTGAGAAAGAGGAAGGAAGGAAGGAGAGAAAGAAAGAAAGAAAGGAAGGAAGGAAGGAAGGAAGAAGTGAGAAAGAGGAAGGAAGGAAGGAAGGAAGGAAGGAAGGAAGGAAGGAAGGAAGGAAGGAAGGAACTGGGGCTGGAGCCAGTACAGATGGGAGGGCGCTTGCCTTGCAGTGGCCAAGCTAGCAGCTATTATGGTTCAAAGGAAAATGCCCTGAGCACAGCTGGGTGTGCCCCCCCACCAAAAAAAAAAAAGGAAACATGTAAGCAAGGTGACGTGGGGGATGAGGAACAAGAATGAGGGAGAGAACAGATGGTGCAGTCCAAAAAAAACACAAAAATCTGGTATAAATTCAGGCACTGAATACGGTCCCAAGCACCGGGTGTGGACCCCGCAAAAAATAAAGCTAGTAGGGGGCTGGAGAGAGAAAGCTCCAGGCTGAACTCATGCTGGGTACACAGGAGGCAAGTCTGATCCCCTACACCACGTGGTCCCCAGAGCATCCCAAGTACAAGCTGGAAGCTGGACTTCTGAACCCCCTGAGCATCTCCTGGTAGGCCCATAAAACCAGAAAGGCCAAACTTCACCCCCCAGCCTGAGGCTCACAGGAGAATTCATGGCTGCAAACCCGGAACACAGACCATGAAAATAACGCAAGACCCGAACCTCCTCCCACTCAACCTCCACGACCACAGCTGAAGACTTAAAGCTGCGAAATTCAATGGACAACTGGTCTACTCAAAATCCCCGCCCTCCCACCCAGTCCCTCAGGCGCTTGTACAGGCTTGTTGTCCTTGGTCACAGGAAGGTGACCTCTAGGTCCCAAAAATGCCTGGGTAGGAGTTTCTTCGGCTGTCTGGGGACTTTGATCTATCTGGGGGACAATCTGACAAGATTTACGACAGGCCCTTGAAGCTTTGGGGCCAGTGTGAAGAAAGAACCAGTCTTAGCAGGAAGCTGCCAGAGGGACAAAGGTCAGCCCTGAGGCTCTGGGACTGGGCCCCAAGGAACTAGACACAGAAGGCTCCGGTGAGTTGGGTGAGTTGTCAGTTCAGAAGGCAGCTAGAAGTGCTGACCATCTTTGGACCTACTGGGAGTGGACTCCTGGTCAAACTCCCCCCAGGTCCTAACTCAGCATGTTTCCAGTAGGTGAGCACTAGAGCTGGAGCAGGAATGCCTTTTTTAAAAATTTTTTTTTTCTGGAAGGAGGAATCACACCCATCCCTATTCAGGGCTTACTCCTGGCAGGATGAGAGCTACATGGGGATGTTGAGGGTTGAACCTGGGTCGACCTCGCGTCAAGTTAAATGCCCTCCCCGCTGTCCAATGGCTCTGGTCCACCTTCCTGTTTCTGCAGTTTTTGCCCACTGACCCAAGGTGACCTCCAGTATCTAACCGCTAACTCTACACTTGGGCATAGATTTTTGTGGTGTCGGGACTCAAACCCAGAATTATACACACGTGTAAGACAAGTGCCCCACCACTGAGAAATGTCCCCTGGCCATATACCAAGCTCCTTGCACTCTGCTCAGGGACCCCCTCTTCAGTATGTGCCCACCCCCTCTCTGGTCTCCCTGACTCCAGAGCCAGGAAAGCTGACCACCCCCAATGGCCACTAGCAAGTTCCTTCCCCAGAATTCCCCTCACTTCCCTACTCTCGTCCAAATGCCATCTCGGTGAGGAGGTCACCTCATGTCAGAGTGGACATCCCAGGGAGACAGCTTAGAGCTGTCCTGCTGTAAACCTGGACACATCAGGCCCTGTGCCCGCTGAGTGACCAGCCGCAAGCATCCTTTACAAGTAGAAAACAGGCCACTCCGCCGGCTTTTTTTTTTCTTTTTGGGTCACACCCGGCAATGCACAGGGGTTACTCCTGGCTATTCACTCAGGAATGACTCCTGGCGGTGCTCGGGGGACCATATGGGATGCTGGAAATCGAACCCGGGTTCGCCACGTGCAAGGCAAACACCTTACCCTCTGTGCTATAGTTCCAGCCCCTCCGCTGGCTCTTTCCCCCAGAAAGGCCAAGTCTGCAAACACAGGACGGTGGGTGAGAGAGGGTGGATGGGCACCTGGCCTCGTGTCCCTTGCTGCTGTGACAGAAGGAGGAGCCACAAGACCTCCCCAGAAAGAGTAAACTTTTTCTTTTTGGGTCACGCCCAGCAGTTCACAGAGGTTACTCCTGGCTCTGCACTCAGGAATTACTCCTGGCGGTGCTCGGGGGACCAGTTGGGATGCTGGGAATCGAACCCGGGTTGGCCGGCTGCGTGCAAGGCAGATGCCCTCCCCGCTGTGCTATCGCTCCAGCCCCAAGAGAGGAGACTTTTACTTGAAGCCAGGAAACAGTTTATTTGGGGAAGTTCATCTGTCCTGTGTGACAATAAAAAAAAAAGTCTTAAAAAAAGGGGAGAAACAGGGGTGGGGGTGTAGGGGGGATCGTGGGCTGGGGTCAGGCCACGTAAGGGAAGTGGAACAGCAGCCCCTCGTGGGGCTTCATGTCCAGCTTGTTCAGCTCCAAGGGGGAGCCCTCGCTGCGGCCCTCGTGGGTGCCGAACGACAGGTCGACGCTGGTGGGCAGGCTGGCGCCCATGGGCAGCCGGGTGCCCCCCAGCCGCACCGCCTGGTTTGTGTCCCTGAAGTTGAGCAGGACCAGGAACCGCTTGTTCTGGTCCCACTGACGCACGTAGGCGAAGAGGCCGGGCCCCGCGGGGAGCAGGTGCAGGTCCCCGTGAAGCAGGGAGCGCTCCTTGGTCCGCTGCTCGCTCAGCCTCCGGAACAGCGACAGCAGGGAGCCCGCCGCTTCGCTCTGGCCCTGGAACGGATGGACAGACGGCGAGGCCGGCAAGTTTAAGGGAAGGCCGTGGGGGTCAACCCCCCACCCCCTGGGGCCTTCTCTCACACTGCTCACCTTCACCGTCTTGTTGGGGTCTACAGGCCCCATGGCGCTGGGGATGCTGGATTCGTTCCACAGCATGACCGGGGCCTTCATAGGCTGCGAGGGAGAGGAAATGGGACTCAGCGAGGCCGGGGCCAGCTCCCACCCTGCCGTTCCTCGCTTCCCCTACACTAGCGCCCCACTCCCCCATCCTTGGCCTGGGGGACCCTTCCTGTCCCTCAGCAGATGACTACGATTCCTTGTCCAATAGTCTCATCCCCGTCCTTACACCACCCCCCTTCTTCTTTCAACAATAACTACCAGCTTCTTTCTACTTTCCCTACCTACAGCTCGTGGGGGACATTCGGGGATCTCCTGTACAAGGTACAGAGGAATTCTCAGTATTCTGGGGTTGGGGTAAGTGAGAACCTGGTTCCAGACATACCACCTCCAGTGTTAATCGTCAGCCCACTAACTGGAGCTAATATGCAGCAACACCCCCGCCCTGCAAAATTCTGAGCTGCCCGCCCCCCAATTCCCAGAGGGGAAGAGCCTATTCGACTAGATACGGGGCAGGTACCACACCCGCACCCTGCTTCCATGACGCGCTCACTGCCAACAAGCCAGGCCGCCGGAAGCCTGGAAAGTGCCCGCCCCGGGCCATCCCTGACACGCCACCCAAAGCCAGTGAAAGCCTTTCTTGAATCCCAACTACCCCATGGGAAATGCAACCACACAGGAGGTGACTGGGATGGAGAGAGAGGGAAACAGATCTGTCAAGGTCTCTCTTTTACACACACACACACACACACACACACACACACACACACACACACACAGCTGCTGACCTAGAAACAAATGCAGCCGCCTTACATGACTGGGAAGGACACACACACACACACACACACACACACACACACACCCCACAGAGCTGGTGACCCGGAAACAAACGCAACCCCCTTACGTGACCGGGAAGGACACAGATACAGATACAGACCCCCCCCCCCCCGCCCCACACACACACACAGAGCTGCTGACCCGGAAACAAATGCAGCCCGGTTCTGTGACTGGGAAGGACAGACAGACACACACACACACACACACAGAGCTGCTGACCCGGAAACAGGTTATGTGACCGGGAAGGACAGACACACACACACACACACACAACAGGTTATGTGACCGGGAAGGACAGACAGACACACACACACACACACACAGAGCTGCTGCCCGGAAACAAATGCAGCCCCATACCTGACCGGGAAGGACAGCCGCCTCCAAACCAATCTCATCCCCATAGCTGAAAACTGGGGTCCCCGGTATGGTGAAGAGCAACATGTGGTAGAGTCGGAGGAGCGAAGCTGGCAAGATGGACGTCATGAGCCCAGCCTGCGACAACTGCAAAGGACAGAGGGACGGGCTGACCCCGAGCCCCACGGCAGACACCCTCTCCCCCGCTGCCCCTCACCCCCCTGCCGCACAACTCACACTCCAGCTGCACCAGCGATTGTCCGTGGCGTTCAGGTACTGGGTGATGAGCAACTGCACCTGTTCCCCGCTGTGGCTGGGGTGGGCCAGGTAGGAGCTGGTCAACAAGACGTCGTTACTGACGCTGAGAAGGTGCAGGATCTGCGCCAGGTCCGAGGAGTTGGTCCCGGCAATCAGGAGGCTGCAGAGAGCAGAGCAAGGGGCCGGGTTGGACCAGGGCGAGAAAGGAAGTTCTCTGGACTCTCTGGCTTGAGCCAAGCCCCCAGGGACAGGCGTGTGCCCGGCACCCACCTATCCTCACTGAAGCTCTTGGTGATGTTCTGCCACTCAGCCAAGACTGAAGGTGCGTTCTAGAAGGAAAAGGGAAGTCATGGAGCTGGGATCTTCCCCAGGCCCTGCGAGCCCCTTTCCACTCCGGCGCTGCCTCCCACGGGGGCACAGGAACTTACTTTGAGCGCCTCCACATCCCGCACCTGGAACCCATCTACGCCAATATTCAGCCAGAAATTCAGAGCATCCTACGGCGCAAGAGAACGAAAGACAGAATCAACACTGACACAAAGGCTCAGAAAATTCCAGCCCTTGGGGCCGGAGCGGACAGGGCTTTTGCCCTGCATGCAGCCAACCAGAGTTCGATCCCCGGCGTCCCATATGGTCCCCCCAGCACCGCCAGGAGTAATTCCTCCTGAGTGCAGAGCCAGGAGTAACCCCTGAGCATCGCTGGGTGTGACCCCCCCGCCCCCCCAAAAAGAAAGAAAATTCCAGCCCAGGGCCAGAGTGATAGTACACTGTAAGGGTATTCTGCCTTGCACAAGGCTGACCCGGGTGGGGTGCTTGGCTTGTACATGGTTCAAGTCAGATTTGATCCCTGGCATCCCATATGGTCCCCCCAAGCACTGCCAGAATTAACTCCTGAGCATGGCCAGGTGTGTCCCCCAAAGCCCCCTTCCCTCCCAACAGAAATAAAATTCCAGCCCAGGATCGGGGCAACAGTACAGCGGGGAGGGTGCTCGCATCCTTGACAACCAATATGGTCCCGTGAGCCCCACCAGGAGTATTCCCTGAGCTCAGAGCCAGGGGTTAAGTCCTGAGCACGGCCCAAAATGCGGCCCCAAAACAACAAAAAATTATCCCAGCTCTCATTAGCCCTTGGCGTGTGCCTTGCACGCAGCCGGCCCGGCCGAGCCTGGTTCGATTCCTCCGCCCCTCTCAGAGAGCTTGGCAAGCTACCGAGTATCTCGCCCGCATGGCAAAGCCTGGCAAGCTCCCCGTGATGTATTCAATATGCCAAACACAGTAACAAGTCTCACGATGGAGACGTTACTGGGCCCGCTCGAGCAAATCGATAAACAACGGGAGGACAGTGCAGTACACATTAGCCCAGGCTGATGGCGCCCACCTGTTGTAAGGGTGATGCCCTAGGCCCCTCCTGCTCTAACTATGGTGCTGTGGGGCCACAGCATTTTCCTTCCTTCCTAGCTCTACCTTTGACACCCATAGAACTGGCACAAGAGATAATGTGCGTGTCCAGAGACATCTTGGCACTTTGGACATCTTGGGCACTTTGCTGGCGCGGCAATTTGGTTTACAGCGGGGAGGGAACCGTCTCGAGGGAGCCCAGAGGCAGAGGGGAGCCAGTTAAGAGAGCAGCGGGGACAGGAGCTGGCATGCTGATCAGCACGGCAACTGTCCCGCCGGCTGCCAGCTCCCTGAGGCCTGGGGGAAGTGTCTGGGCCGGGCGGGGGCGCAGAGCCAGGCACCGTCCTGTCGAGCAGGCCCAGGCCTGAGCCCTGGCATTCTGGCACCGCGTGCCCATCCCCACTCCTGCTGCCGCCTGCTCCCTTGCCCACTCACTGCAGGGATATTTCTCCTTTCAGCCCCATTTCTCCCCCCCTACCTTTGGTTTTTGGGCCATACCAGCGGTGCTGGGGCTTTCTCCCGCTGTACTCAGGGATCACTCCCGGAGGGACTGGGGGGAAACTCTGTGGAGTGTTGGGATCAAATCTGACTTGAATGTGTGCATACAAGGTAAGCACCTGACCCATGATACTCTCTCTAACCCCTCAGCCCCACTTTCTTCCTGCCCCCTTGATTTTAGGGTTCCATGCAACAGTGCACAGGACCTACTGGTTCGGTCCTTGGGGGTCACCCCTGGCGGTGCTGGGGTGGGAACTATACACAGCTGAGACCGAATCTGGGGCCTTCTGATTATTTTTTTCCTTTTTCCTTTTTGGGCCACACCCAGCGATGCTCAGGGGTTACGCCTGGTTCTGCACTCAGGAATCACGTCTGGCAGTGTTCGGGGAACCACATGGGATGCCAGGGATCGAACCCGGGTCAGCCGTGTGCAAGGCCCTATCCTCTGGACTGTCTATCTCACCCTTGAGGTCTTCTGAAAGCAAAGTAGATTCTCAGCCCCTGGAGCTCTGGCCATGTTTTCCTCCCCATACCAGCTGGAAATAATCGCTTCAGGGGGACTTTTGGGTCTTGCAGAACCGAGCAGGGACCGAGCCAGACAGTCCCAAGGGTCCTGGCAATGCTGGGTGGGATGGGGAGATCAGAGGTGACACCTGGTGATGCTCCACGCCCTGTGCTCAGTGATCACTCGCAGGTGGTGCTTAGGGGGGGACCACACTGGAAGTTGCAAACGAAGCACGTGACTTACCCCTGTGCTAATTCTCTGGCCCCCCAGTTCTGCAGCACTCCCCGTCAATCAGTAGGGTCAGGAGCTGGGGTGCCTTTCAAAGTCCCTCCCCCTGTTCCCTATCTGTAGAATTTGAGCCGTATTTCTCCAGGGATGGCAAACTAGGGGTCTAAGCCAATCAAGAACCCCCTCCACCTCCCCAATGGTTCAGTTAGCACCTCAGAACTTTTCGCCTGCTCACACTTCAGGAATGACGAGGGGAGTGTGTGCAGTTGTAATGGGATGAGAGAAATTCCACAGCTGCAGCCCCAGAAACGTGGGAAGACCCAAGGTCAATTATTTCAGCCAGGGGTTCCACAACATCAAGCAAGAAGGCAGACTGGATAGGATGCGCACAGAGGGAAGAGCTTCCTCCGCTTCAGAGGAGAAAAAAGCCCAAGCAGACCAACCGGGGAGAAAGCCCCTTCCTGTCTCCATCTTCAGAGCAAAGGAAACGGGGGCACGCTCGGAGCCTATTCTTCTGCGCGTGGGAGAAACGGAACTGCCGGGCTCCCAGCAGCTCCCCGGGAGGATCGGGGGACGAGGTGACAGGCAGGGCTGGCTGCCACGGGACCGATACAAGCACAGACACAACCCAGAACTCACCTTCACCTTGATGGCCACAACGTCCGAGTCCATGGGCTGGAACCAGGAGTTCTGGCCCCTGTAGTTGGGAGTGAGGTCCAGGACGACCCGGATGCCTGGAACAATGGAGGAAGCGGCCTTGGTGAGGGCAGAGGAAACCAACAAGCACTCCCAGGTCGAATGCTGCAAAACTCACTCCGCTGAAACCGATCTGAGCAAAAACAAGCCCTGGAGAAGAAGGCTCAGTTCTGGGACCCTCGGGCCCCCCAGCTCGAGTGAGCCCTTTTGCACCCTTATTAAACTGAAAGGCAAGACTAGGATGCCCCTCCAACCCCCACAAACACCCAACTTTTCAGAAGTATGAGAATCAACCAGGTAGCAAGTACTGCCACATCTGACAAGGAAGAGCAACTCGGACGTCATGACCTCCAGACGGGCCAGGCAAGTCGAAAGACTCTTGAACTACTTGGCAAACCCACCTCAGGCTGCCGCTTAACCTGCTGGGGGCAAGGACACCACGGTCCACTCACTCCCCTCTGCCTTTCCTCTGGCCCCCATCCTGGGGGCTGCCCAACCTCGCCCAGCACACCCACTCTTTTTCTTGGCCGACTGCAGGAAAGCCTCAAAGTCTTCCTTGGAGCCCAAAGCTGGGTCGACCTCGTTCAGGTTGGTTTGATGGAAGTCATCTTCTGGGTTCTTGTGAAGCGGGCCCAGTACTATGCCTTTCACCTTCAGGCTGTTCAGGTAATCCAGCTGCCCCTTGAGGCCTGAAACAAGGGGGTGGGTGGGGGGTGCGGGAGTGAGCTGACGCCACCCGTGGGTGGGGGTGGGGGTGGGGTGGGAGTGCAGGAACAAAATGAAATCTCGTCTTTCCCGCGGCGGGTTTGTGTGTATGGGCTGGGGATGGGGGGGGGGGGGGTGGATCACGCGGCTCAGGGCGGCTGGCTGATGTAAGGAACCGGCTGCGACCGGATCCTGGGGCAGATGCTGAGTCAGCTTAGCCTGAGAGCGGGGGAGGGGAGGGGTTCCCCAAGAAAAGGCAGGCAAGGCCCAGGGCTCGGGGAGCGGACGCCGCTAGAGGGGCGCCCATGGGTGGGTCGGGGAGGGCGCGAAGCCCGGCGGGCGGTCGGGGTGCCCTCGCTCACCCTCCAGGTTGCCCGCGTCGCCGCCCAGGAAGGCCTTGACGTCGCCGATGCGGTAGAGGGCGCCCTTGTGCCACCACCGCTGCACGGGCAGCTCGCGGCAGCGCGGCGCCTGCACGATGATGACCACGGCGCCCGCCAGCATGCCGAACCAGCCGAGCCAGAAGAGCACCAGCAGCGCCCAGCGCGTGCGCACCCAGCCGGGGCTGCTGGCCACCTTCAGCAGCTCCTCCTTGGTCAGGCCCGTGAACTTGGCGGCCGCCGCCTCCGCCTCGTCGTCGGCCACCTTGATCTTCACCAGGCCGTTCTTCTCGGCGCCGCCCGCCGCGGCCACCCCGGCCGCCCCGGCCGCCGCGTTCATCGGCTGCTTCTCGGGCTCCAGCTCGTTCAGCTCCACTTCCTTCATGTCGACGTCGGCGTCCCGGCTCATGGAACCTGCGGCTGCGGCGACAGCGGCGCGACCTGCGGTCAGCTGGGCTGGGGAGTGGACACCGGCGGCGGCCTCGCGTCCCCCACGCACGCTCCGCTCCCGCTACTGCCGCGGCCGGGGCGCGGCCCGGGGACTTTAGGCGGGGAGGCCCCGCCCCCGACACGCCCAGACCACGCCCCAGCCCGACCTACCGCGGCCCCGGGACGTTAAGGGAAGCCCCGCCCCCGAGACGCCCAGAACACGCCCCCAGCCCCGGGACTTTAGGCGGGAGGCCACGCCCAGACCACGCCCCACCCCGGCCGGCCGGCCGCGGCCCCGGGACGTTAGAGGGGAGGCTCCGCCCCCGGCCACGCCCCCCAGACCGACCTGCCGCGGCCCCAGGACTTTAGGCGCGGAAGCCCCGCCCCACCCCGCCCACGCCGCCAAACTGGTTCCGCCCCTTAAAGTGGACCACGGGGCTCGTCTCTCCCAGACCTCCCGCGTGAGCAAAGCAAAGGGAGGGGCTCGCCGGGAGGGTCACGACGGGGATCCGTGCAACCGTCTCCGACGCGCGCGACTGGCCCCGCCTCCCGTGGGGAAGGGAGGTAGGTGGGGGAGCGGGGGGATCTGACGCCCCCAGTTCGAAGGCAAGAGCACCCCCGGCCGCAGTCTCCCCGCAAAGCCCCTCCCCCTCCCCGCTGCCCGTTCCCTGGACTCATCACGCGGCCACTGTTTACCCGCCCACCCGCGATGCCTGGTTCCACTGACTGAGCCCCCTGAGGGGTCTGACGAGGCAGGATGCGTCCGGACAGGAGAGCTGACTGACACCCGACCCTCCCACACACTCCACCCCAGTATCCGGCGCCGGGATGCCGGGTCTCCGAAGCAGCCAGAAAAAGTGGGTGCGCAACATTCCACCGCGGGGCCTCCTATTCCCTCCCCCAGCCCATTATATGCCCGGTGAGCGGGTCAGTGGGGCCTGAGCCGAGCATTGGCCTCGCAGGTGGTCGACCCGGGCTCCAGCCCCCACCCCCCCCACCCACCCCGCATCCCGTGTGGTCCCACCCCCAGAACCGCCAGGAGTGATTCCTGAGCGCAGAGCATAAGCCCGGAGCATCATCATGTGTGGCCCCCAAACAAACAAAAACCCTCACCACGGTCTCCCTGATCACAAGGCCTCCCAGCTCACCCCCAACTCTCCAGGAAGCCGGGGTTCCCTGACACCCCCCCCACTTCCCTTCACAGAGCGCCCCCCCACACTCAGGGGAAGGCAGGGTGCGGGGTCAGGGCCAAGTTCAAGGCCAGCTCCTCCCGCAGGAACTCGTCGTTCCCGCCTGGGGCCAAGCGGGGTTATTTTCAGAGAGGAGCAGCGAAGGAAGTTCTTTCTACCTCTCCCACCTGGGCCAGCGGCCAGATGGCCATGAACTTCAAAGGAAGAAGCCAAGAGCTGATGAAAGAGCGGGCAGCTCGTGAGGCGCCCAGGGTGGGCGAAGAAACGTCCTCCGCCCATTCCCCTTTCTGCACCCCAACGCCCAGCCCTGCCCCCACTCCTGGAGGCAAGGAGGGAGAGGGCGGCCAAGGCGATAGGAGTCCAAGGTGCCCTGGGCCTGCCAGATAAGCAAGCACTGAAACGGAGCTCTGGACAGCCGGGACCAGAAAGCACAGGGTGGGGCCCGTGGGCTCGGCCACTGTGCATGTTCCAAGGTGGCACTAACTCCCTGCCCCCAGCATGCGGGCCGGGGGAAGCCCATTCCCTTCTGCTGCCAGCTCCGGGCACTCCTGGCTTAGCCTACCTCTGCGGCTGTCTCGGCCACTCCTGCCACCCTTTCGGCCACCTGTCTCACCTCAGAAGCTGATTCCTACTTCCCCCAGAGAGAGAACAGGGCAAAGGCCAGAGTTAAGCCCTGACCACCGCAGGATGAGGTCCGAACCTCCCAACCCAGCCACTGGGCACCCACCTCTGCTGCCAGCATTTTGTTGGGGGGAAGGCAAGCTGGCAATGTTGGGGGCGGGGTGGATACTCTTGGCTCTGCACTCTGCACAGGAATTACTCCTTGTACTTGGGGGACCATATGGGATGCCAGGGATCGAACCCCTGCCTTGCATCCAGGCCTGCCTTGTGCAAGGCCCACAACTCAGGCAAAGTAGCATGAGATACAGGAATACAAAGAAAAAGGAATACAAATGAAATTTAACCAAAGCTGCACCATATGGAGATGAAGCTGTTTATCAAAGCAAACAATGCCCGGTTAGGGCTCAAGCAAAAGAAAAAGCGATAAATTTGGGGAGAGAGGGCAGAGCAGCTAAGGTAAAAGAAGATAATGTTGGTTTTTGTTCTTTTTTCCAGTATGGGGGCCTCACCTGGCAATTCTGGGGGTAGAGGATTACTCCTGGCTCTGTCGGGGATCCAACCCAGGTCAGCCACATGCAAGCAAATGCCCTACCCACTGTACTATCGCTCCAGCCCCATGAAAGATGACAGTGAAGGCAGGAAATGGCCAGAGGGGGGCCGAAACGACAGACAGTACAGTGGATGGGGCATTTGCCCTGTGCTTAAAAAAAAAAAAAAATTAGCCTTCAAGAGGAGGCTGAGACAAAGCAAAGATAGGCCAGAGGCCAATAAGAACTAAAGAAGGCCCCAGTCTTCCTCTTTTTCCTCTCTTTTTTTCTTTTTTTTTTGGCTTTTTGGGTCTTTTGGGTCACACCTGGCGGTGCTCAGGGGACCATAGAGGATGCTGGGAACCGAACCCAGGTTGCCGAGTGCAAGGCAAATGCCCTACCCACTGTGCTATCGCTCCTGCCCCAGGCCAGTCCTGAGGATGGGGTAAGGCAGGAGGCCAAGTGTCCTTAGAAAAACTCCTTTCTAAAGCTGTGGAGCAAAAGGCATGTCACGTGTTTCCAAGAGCCTGATCTTAGCCAAAAGATAAGCAAGTTATTTTCCCTTAATGCAGCAAGTGGGGGCGGGGGAGGGGGCAGGATGAGACTTTGCAGACCCTGAGCAAATGTAGGATAGGTTAAAAAAAAAATTGGCTTTTGGGTCACACCCAGCGATGCTCAGGAGTTACTCCTGACTCCTGGCTTTGCACTCAGGAATTACTCCTGGCAGGGTGCTTGGGAGACCATATGGGATGCTGGGAATCAAACCCGGCTGGGTTGCGTGCAAGGCAAATTCCCTCCCCACTGTACTATCGCTCCAACCCGGTAGAAAATTCCAAAGTCTCAGCCTAGCAGGACTCTTAGCCCTGCCAAAGCTCAAGGTATTATTCCAGAGACACAGAGACAAAACATTCGGGCTCTACCTGAAAAACTCCAACCTGAGGATTTCAGACCGAAGGACCTGAGCAGAGTCTGAGGCAGAGAAGGGGGCCGAAGCCCAAACAAAGGGGCTCACTTGGCAGTTAATAATTGACAAACTGATACGGGGACAATAGTATGTTATCCTGTTGGGTTTTTTTTTTTTTTGCGGGGGGGGGGGTGGAGGTGGGGAGTGGGAGTTTGGGCCACCACTGGCCTGTGCTCAGGGATCACTCCAGGAGAGGCTGGGGAGACCACCTGGGGTGCAGGGGATGAACTCAAGGCCAGTGCATCACCTGCTGCTCTATCTTGCTGGCCCAAGCACTTGTTACTCTAAATGCTGCAGGAGGAACAGAGCTCTGCTCTAAAGAGCAAACCCGGCGGGGGGGGGGGGGGGGGGGGGCGGGGGGGGATGGGACACGGGACACGGGACACGGGACACGACCTCCAGGGACGCGACCTCCAAGAACGGGACAGGCTTTGCTTGCTGGAGCCCTGAAAGTCTTAGGCTTAGGCCATCTGGGCTCCAAGAGATCTGGAGGGAGATCTAGAGGGCTCCAAGAGATCTGAGGCCAAAATAAATAAGTGCTTTTGTTTCTGGATAGCTGGGTAAGTTTAAATCCCACAACAGTGATCCTTGGCGAGCACAACTGAAACGTATGAACATCACAAGTCAGGCGCGTGTGTGCCCATCCCCCACCACCACAGTCTCTAGAGCCACACAGGGAGGGGGAGAAGAAAGGGAATGCCATTAAAAAAAAGAATAATACTCAGGGCTGGAGCGATAGCACAGCGGGTAGGGTGTTTGCCTTGCACGCGGCAGACCCAAGTTCAATTCCCAGCATCCCATATGGTCCCCCGAGCACCGCCAGGAGAAATTCCTGAGTGCAGAGCCAAGAATAGCCCCTGAGCATCGCCAGTGTGACCCAAAGGGCTAAAATAAATAAATAAATAAATAAATAATCCTCATCACAAACACGGGGTCGGAGTACATAGTAGGTACGGCATTTATTTGCCTGGGACCCCAAGTCTGTACAGCTGGGGATGTCTCAAATCCTGCCCCCTCCTAAATGAATCTAGCCCCTGATTTCGAAGCTTAAAAGGAAAACTGTTACAGGCTAGGGCTGCGGCTCAGGTGGTGAAAGCATGAGGCCCGGGATTCAGCCCCCAAGAATGTGCCCCCTCAACCTCTGGTCCCCAAGCACTGCCAAGCCCACTGAGCACAGGCCTCACATACTGGACACCCTGGGTGCACTAAACCCAGCCCTCGGCACAGCTGCGGTGTGCCAAATGTGTGCCAGACAAAGGGAAGAGGGACAGGAGGGAGAGGGGAAATATCTGGATCACTTACCAAAAGACAAGGGCTGGAGAGACAGTCCAACGGAATAGGCTGACCCGGGTTCGATCCCCGGCCTCCCATACGGTCCCCAGAGCGCAGAGCCAGGAGGAAGCCCTGAGCACCACTGGGTGTGGCCCCCAAAGAAAAGACAGAGAATACCAAGCCTTCATTTTAATAATCATCTGATCACTGACAGCACTATCAAGAGCACCAGATCAGGAGCCGGCAATATAGCTCCAAGGCCAAGAGCCTGGGTTCAAAGCACCAGCACTAGGCGTGGCTGAAAAACCAAACAAATATGAACACTATTCATCTGGCTGGATTGTTTTCCTGTCCGGGTCAGACCCCTGGCCCAAATGAAAGGTTTGTGGACTGGAGGAAGCAAGTCTGGAATTAATCTTCCTTTTCCATTCACTTGAC